GGAGGAAAAAAGAAGATCTTGTATATATGTGCCCGGATTATTTTCAATTTCCAATAAAGTACTTATTATTTTTACTTTTCATATTTCTCCTGTTTTAAAATGTCAAAATGTAAGATATTTTGATTAAAGGCGCGGAATTTAAAAAATTAATTTTTTATCCAAAAATATCATTTAATATATATAATAAGAATAAGTTAATCAATCATAAAAAAATTGCAAAATACTAGTGGTCATACAGTATTCAATAAAATTTAAAAGTATATAGAATTGTCAAAACATTTTATATTGAAACAAAGAAAAACCTTCAAAATATCATATATTTTCAAAAAAGAGAGAATAGTAATTAACCACAATTCATGATATAATGAAGTCTGTTTTCTTCTCTTTTCTTTGTTGTTGTGAAAAAGAAGAAATCTCTGATCTATGTATGATACTGCATGCTAGTCAATAATTGATTTGAATCCTTTCCCTGTTCCTATATTGAAATATTCTTCGTTTTTAAAACGACTTTTACTTTAGCTATTACCTAAATTGACTCAACTAAATCAAACATATTATCAAAGGTGTTGCCGGATTTATAAGAAGATCATTGATTTAGATTCAGAATTTCGACAATATTTTTAGTATAGGGAGTTTCTAATCCATATATGAAAATGGACATATTCACACTGTTCAAATGTGAAAAGACCGAAATACTTTGTCTTTAGTAGCGCCTATCGCGCATAGACTTGATGTTGGATTGTTTTTCTATTAAAAAGAATGTACTGTATATTGGACCGTATAGAGTATTAAACAATAGTTCCATAATAATGCAATTGAGTTCTTAATGATACCATCGCTTCTTCTAATGAAAATCTTTTTCTTTTGGTAAAGCTGAAACTGAAAGTCTCATATTATGGGAGATTGAGAGTTGGCTGAGTGGGAGGGAAAGTGAATCTTTTCGTTAACCACGCGGCGAGATTTAAATGGTTGATGTGTTTGATAATTGAAGACTTTGATTTTTGTTATAAAGCAGAGAGCTTACCACAAGGGATGATTCTTTTTTGTCTTTTTTACACTTTCAAAAGTTTTACCATAAATAATACGGAAACGAGCCAATTCCCCCAGGAACTCAACAATTTCTACATGATCTATTGAACCATGCTAAAACACACATGAACTAACTATATTTTTGAAATTTCCACATGATTTATTTACATGTGGTCGATTTACACAAAACCGTAGATGAAATTAATTTTCCGTTAAGATGGAACATGGTTTTGGTTTGGTTTAGAATTTATAGAATTTTTTTTTTAAATAATAATACAGGCATCATGATATTTGAAAATGGACAATTGATCTAATCTACAAATATAACGTCATTAAAATAGTTCAGCAACATCTAAGAAAAAGACCATAAGATTTCATTTACCTAAAGCAACCTCTCCTCTCAAATTCAGCATATGTTTTTTCTTAGTCTATGTGAATCAACTATACGCTACAATATAGACATACTTATAAAGAAAACCATCAACTTAAGACAAAAGATCTAAACTAATCTCAAAACATTCAACAAATTTGTGTAAATCTAGAAGATATTGGATAAAGTAGTCGTAGTTGGTACAAAAACTGTAATAGAGAGAGAACTACAATATACATTACAAAAAACAAGAGAAATAAATCTTGAATTTTTGGGTTTCAATGTCACATGGTTTTTGAGTTTGTTTACCTCGTACATACTCAATCTACGGCTCAGCATCATTGTGTCGTTAATCCTGGTTTACCAACGAGATAACGAAAATGTATAAAAAAAACTTGCAATAAACAAATAACATTCGAAAAGACTTGATCATTATCACTAAAAGTGTTACCTTTGGAACTTCAGAGTCAACGAGGCAATCTCTGCAACTCCACAGCAACGAGCGAAGCGACACTGTTAAGACCAGCTACATCTGAGTTCTTGATTTCAGAGACAATGGCATTGATCTTAGAGACATCGTGTCCTGATATCGACAAAATCATCGCCTGCGATAGATACTGCTTGCAGGCGTATCCCAAACAATGCAAGATTCTCTTCAGAACCAACACATGTAGCTCCGTGCTCTTCCTCCTGCGCCATGTGTCGAGAATCGGTGTGATCTTAGGAAGATTGGTTAAGAATCCCGTTGTGGCTTCTCTCGAAGCTGCTTTAAGTAGCAACACGACACATTCAGAGGCAATATCTGCAATGCTCGTGTCATCTAAAGCCGTGAGGTTCAAGAACAAGCCAATGTTGCTACTGAAATCTGCAATGTCTCTTATACATTCCTGTGGATCGACCTCGAATGTAAAAGATGTCTCTGATAAAAGCGTTGGCTCTTTCGTGTAGTTGGAGCTGAGACCTTTCTTGTTGCCAAGGGATCGTAGCAGAAAAGCTCTGCAGAGACTTAAAGTGGGTTCAAGGAAATCTTCCATGTCTTTTGCATTTACGAATTCCAAAAGATTTCCGATTCTCCTCACTACTTTTAGCTGAGAAAGTAGTTTGGTTTCCATCTCTGGAGCTGAGGCTAAGGCAAGACAGAGCTTGACATTGTTCACATTCGCGCTTGACAAATCGCCGAGAAGAAACTCGAAGCATTGTGAAACTGTATTCTGATGCAATATGTTGGAGATTTTGATATAATCAAACTCAACGAGCATAACGAGGAGTTTTTGCGCGTAAGCTGGGATTGGATCTTCGTCTTGGATCAATGCAGGGTAGAGTGGGAGGAAATGAGAGTTGGATATTGACTTCAAATCTTCAGATGTTTGTTGCTCGATTTCAGTACACTCAGTTAGGAGAATTGTCATTGAATCAAACCAGATCTTCAAACAGAGAAACCGAGCATCCCCGTCTTTGTTCCCATTGTAGATTCCAGCTAAGGATGGGAGAATTTCACGGATAATAGTCTCTGCATTTTGTGTAACCAGAGGAGCATCTTCTGCTATGCACTCTAGAACTTGAAGAAGGGTAATACGGAAGTCATCTCTTCCCTGCAAAACAGCAAAATACAGAGCATTTTCATTTGAACTAAAAGAATAATATAAAAGAGGATGGCAGAGTTGACTTGAAAGTACTGACCTGAAATGATGCTTCCACAAGTTTTGTAAGATTTGCCAACTGCCTTAGGACTTGTTGAGTTACCATTTTGTTCTTAAACGAAGAGCTTCCAAGAAGATGAAGAACCACAGGGAACAAGTGTGCATTAGTCTTTACAGCAGCACGACTGTTAAGGGGAGAGACAGGTGCATGACGTCTTCCTGTCATCAGTTGCTGGATCTCATTGGTTATTGTATCCAACAAACTCGGTATTATGGAGGCGATCACATTCACAAATGCCTCAAGACATTGTTGCACGTAACTGTCTTTTTCTTTAGCTAATCTGTCCACCACAGGAAGAAATCTTGTACTGGAGAAGAAATTTGACAGCCATCGCCTACTGTTTTTGCAGAGAAGTGCAACGCAGAGAAGAGCTTTGCCCCTCAAAACTTCACTTCCTTGCTCTATGATGGAGAGCATACTAGGGAAAAGATTTTTCTCCTCTGTCAATGTCACGAGATGCCTTCCAAAGCTTGTGAATGCATGACTTCCAATCATAGCCATGTTCAGAAGATTTAAGCAGATTTGCTGCTCTCGTGGGCTGCCTTTCACAAATGATGAAGCTATTTCCTTCAACGAAAGCTTTTCCACAACTGTCTGAATGCAAGGAGGATTAAAACGAGCGAGACGGACCAAACATGATCCAGCAGTCTGCCTCATGCTCTCCTGTTTCCCAGCTGCTCTGTAGATATAGCAGAGGTTGCTAATCAAATCTTGGCTGGAGAAACGGGTGGCCCAATAAGCTCCTTGGCTGCAGATGTTTTCTATTGTCCTTAACGCGTAGAGCTGAGTCAGGTCATCTTCTCCTTTGCGTAAGACAGATGATACAAGAGAGATCAAGGCATTCGAAACCTAGTTCAAGAAAACAGGAATCGGTTTAAATAGGGACCAATTGAAAGATAGAATATTTATACTTAAGCAGTAGACTTTGGTCCATTAGAAATATGCCATGAAACAAAAAAAATCCATATAATCCACAATTTAAGAGTAATAATCAATGGATGGATGCTGACCTGCCAACCCGATGCAGAACGAGTCTCTTTCGACGGTGATTCTGCTGGTTTGAAATCCTTATGCTCATTCTGGGTGGAGATGTAGAATAGCAATTCACCTAGAGCTGCCATGGAGAACCTTCTCACTTTTTCATGCTTGTCCCTGAGGCCATTAGTAAGAGAGTCTAGAATACCGGAATTTGCCAAGTCATCTTCGATTGAAGAAGAATGCCGAATTAGCAAACCAATTAGTGAAGCAATTTGTACACGAAACGATGGGGTCTTGGATAACCGCAGAACTTTAACAAGCACAAGCATTATTGGCCCGTTGGTCAAGATGTTGGCTGCATCAGCATTGCTACTCAATGTCTCGAGGTATCTGATCAAATTCTGTTTCTCTGACATGCCAGCACTGCTCCCACTTAGAAACGTTATGATTCTATTGTTAAGCGGTTCTAATTCTTGCTTTCCCATCTTACCAAAATCAGAAGGCTGTGGTGCTTCAAATGAGAGAGAAGGCACATATTCTTTGTCAGATTTTCTGCTGGGCATGACCGGTCTAACAGAAAGATCAGATAAATGCCAAAGGACGTCACTGAGGCTATTAGGTGTTTTAGATGTATCATTGTTAACAGCAACCCCAGAAACTTCTCTTCCTCGGTGAGTTTTAATTTGAGGACTAGCACTTGGTGGTGCAGCTGACACTTCAATAGGCTCTGACTGCTCTTCATGGCAATCTCTTGCTTCATTCGAGGTTGGTGTTTCGTTGGCAGACGAGTTCTCATCAGGCACAGTGTTGCTTATAACTCCTTGTCTTCTGTGACTCTCATTTTGACTCAAAACTCTTTCATCTTGTGAACAAGAGGTGTTCTCGGTTCCTTCACCTTCATCGGGTCCCTCGTCATCATTGTCTTCATCAAAATCAAGTTCCATATCAGTGTTCTCAATCTTCACTTCAGCACAATTCTCATTGCTATTAGGTGAGGGTCTCCTGTAGTTTTCCTTCTCGTTTTCCTTTTGGAGATTTGCCTTTGCTATCCTTGACAATCTTAGAATATTCACCTGCCTGTTAGCACCAGGGCGACTCCCATGCTTTTCCTCAGTTGCCTTACTAGGAAGCTTTGTTTGTGCTTTAGAGCCAGCAGGTGTACTCTTTAGCGGTGTCTCACGGCCTCTTGAACCTTGAATGGAGTTCTCATTGTGCTTTGAACCCCCTTTTGGGTCTTTCTCCCGATACTTTGGAGGGGTCTTGTTTGGTCTGCCTTCATTATGCTCAGAAAGGCATGGCTTTGTGGATATGCCAATCATATTGTCAAAAGAAGGCTGAGGAGGCAACTGGACAAGATTTATCTTACTCTCCCAAAATGCATGACCACAGAGATCCGCCCATTGTATTCTTTGAGCTGGGTCTTTCATAAGTAGAGAATCAATGAGATTGACAAATGATCGGCTTGCATTCCCAGGGAGTGGAGGAGTTGGATCTGAATGGATAGATTTCACAAGCTCGGTGAACTCTCTTGCCACGAAAGGAGGTCTCCCTGTGTAACATTCATATAACACACAGCCAAGTGCCCATAGATCAGAAGCAAAAGAATGAACCCCTCCATCTTCATATAGTTCTGGAGCCATATAATATGGGGTACCACGTTTTCCCTGTTGCAAATTTTCGCAAGAGATATTAAGTATTGACAACTTGCAGTCACTGAGATCATAGATTCACTGATACTATAAAGCTTTTATAGAAACAAAAAGGGACAAAACTGTTTACCGAGGAAGGAGATTTAGAAATATCATCTAGCTTCCTTGCCAATCCAAAATCACACAGCTGCAACACACAAGGATACAAGATCAGTTAAACCAAATAAACTATCATAATAAACTACACACCTGGATAGAAAAGGCAGCAACATTTGTACCTTAATATGACCGTTTTCATCCAATAAGATGTTTGATGGTTTCAGATCACAATATATAATTCCTTTCGAATGTAAATACCTGAGAAAATTAGGAACAAAAATGTCCATGAGAGAACATTTTCCAAATGCACCTAGAGGTAGTGTCAAAATGGTTTAAAAAGGATCTTACAGCAGGGCTATGACAAGATCATAAGCAAGACCATAAATCGAATCTTCTGGCAGTTTACAGTCCTGCAAAACAAGTTGACTTTCAGAAAACCTGTGACTTATCATCAATACGACAGTCAAACTACAAGCTATACCTGCTGCAACAATGTCCTGAGATCACCCCCAACGCAATATTCCAGAACTAACCACATGTGAGCAGAAGTTTCATACCTGAGACCACATGAAGACCGATAATTAGAAACAAGTACAGTAGATGTATAGGGAACCAAATCATTGGTTCTATATCAGCTTACTAAGTTTTACCAGGCATAGAACTTGAGTACGTTTGGATGATTTAGCGAGTGAAGGATCCTGACCTGAAAAAAGGAGACGAAAAAAGTATTCAAAACTTGTCAGTATCCAAATCCCACTCAAAACTCAGAGATCTTTCAAAGCGATTACATGAGCCAGAAATAGAAACTTAATTTGACAAATCTAGTGTAAATCCGTCACAATCGAAGATCAAATCCATAAAAATCAAGCAATCAAGCATAACCGCAGGAAAATCTCAGTTAACCCAAGCATTGAAACACTAATTCGGCAAAGAGAAAACAGATCTTCTGATTACCTCTTGAAGAACCTTGCTCTTCCGCGACTTATCGACACTCTTGCAGGCAAAATACTCGATAGTCTTCTTCTTCCTTCCTTTATACACAGTCTGCGAAGAAATGGAAACCGATTTGAACAAAAAGTTGCAGAAGAAAGATACTCGAGAATGGTACAAGGAGATTCTAAATTACCGAGCATTTGCCATGACCAATGGCTTCGTATATGTGATACTGATTCATCGTCCGAGCTTCAAAGTCGCCTGAGATCCGATTCGGACTCAGTTCTAAAGAGAATCTATGGCCGTTGTTGAATGGATTTGGGA